ATTTCGAAAAAAAACTATTTGGGTGATAGCGTTGATAAACTAAATCATTTTCTTACTCAGAAAAAAAAACATACCCCCCTTTTGTAGCTAAAGGTCGGTCCGTAAATGTATTTTTTTTTTCTATATATGGACATGAATAGTATTCTGGACAATGCTGAAAGTAAAGAAATGCTGATACCGACGTTTATATTTCAATAAAAAAGACAGGAAATATATATAAAAAAATCAAATCTAATCAAAAGATAAAATCCCTTTCAACTCACCAATGCACGATTGATCCTATAAATAAAAAGTGTCCGTGTAATACATGTTCAAATAGGCAGCAAATCTTGAAGAAAATCATTCAACTTATGTCACCAATTTTGGACGGTAAGCTGCGATTGGATCATATTGTGACACGTGTTTGATCCTGACCAACACTATTAGAGACATATATAAAAACCTATAAGCATAATTTAAAAAAAAAAAATCCAAAATATATGCCTATATTGGTGATTTTAACAAGACAAAATCGATTTTTTCGTACCATTTCATTCACTAATGAAATAGGAAATTCATTCTTTTTATATTGTTATTGAATTTATATATTTGGGAGCAAACTTACGATTTTTATTATTTTTTTTAAGGCGGAATGGGGGAATGGAATGACACATCCGGCATGTATTCAACAAAAAAGAATCAAGCCTGTTTATTTTTAATTTATTTTAACCCCCAGCCCCCCTTTCCGTTTTCCCCCAAATAAAAATCAAATGTTAGCTTGCTTACCTCTGAAATCTTTTTCATACATTACTTACTTGCGAAGATGCATTTTTAAAAGTCTCAAATGTGTACGACATTCATCTTTTACTTCACATGGTTCTTTTCTTATGAAATTATTAGATTCTTGAATTTCTTTAGAAAAAACTATAGGATGAAGGGAAGTGAAAAAAAAGTTTGTTTAAACTGTCTTACTGTAACTTACATTAACTGGTATATGGCCATTTAAGTTTCGAATCTGTTAAATTTTGCTACCTCTTCTACATGCAAAATGTACTACTTCTTTCTTGAAACGTCGTACAAGTCAGATACAAAACAAAGGTAACAAAAAACAGGCCGGAAACAAACTGCCGAATAGTTTTTCTGCACTCGTAGTCAGGTCAAGGTCCTCGGCTATCGCCTCGGACCTTCACCTGACTACTCGTGCAGAAAAACTATCCGGCAACGCTTGTTACCGGCCTGTTTCTTTGTTACCTTTGTATTGTATCTAATACTTATTTGCTATCACGTTTTGATCTGCCGTTTTATATTTCCTTGTTTGAGTAAGTGATAATCATGCTGGTAGCTGCTCTGAGCGTGTTCGTATTTTGTGCTTTAATTGTTTTAACACATATGACATAGAGAGGCAAACAAAGAGGGGGAGGCGGAGGGTCTGACGTAAAACATCTGATTCATGTTGTAATTTTTATGTATAATCAGATAAGGAATCGGTAAGCTTATTTTTGGGAAGTTAGTTATTGAAAAAATTAAGTCAATACTATGTCTGTGAATGCAAATATATGATTGCAGTAGAAGAGTGATATTGCATTATTTTGGTAAATTTAAAAAATGATTGGGATGTTTGTAGATACAGTGATATATATTATGTATTCTGTCGTGACAAATTACAGTCCAGCCTCAAATATGTGTCCTTGCCTCAGATCTGTGACCCTTTCTCCAAACTCAAATATGTGTCCTTTCATCAGATTTGTGTCTCGTGACGTCATGACACTCAAATATGTGACCTTTTGTTTATTCAAATCCATGTCCTTCTTATAAGGTAGACTTTCGGTGATATGAAGTGAGTTGGACAGGCACATATATATTGTGACACGTTTACAGTGCAAAACTCTCCCCTAACCTTGGACTATGGTGTAACAACTCAACAGAAAAACACTGTAAAACTCATTTAGAAAGGACTTGACTCATACGATCAGCACAAACTACCAAAAATCAACCAACAAACATCAAAAGGACAAAAGACATAAAATACCGGTCTTAGAGTACTCTAATCAATTTATCCATTTGACCTTCAAGGCATCGTTACTTATTTATTCACAAAATGCTTTTAATAAAATATGACTTATGTGTGTAAATTGGTAGAGAAAACAGTTTTTATATAATGGCTACTTTCACTAATACAATATTTCTTTTATCTAAAAATAATAAAAAATAAAATCTGGATGATAAGGCTAATTTCTGACTGAAAGATGAAAAGGTTTTTCACAAACTGTAAGCTACAATGCACATAGTTCAACACAAATAACTATTTAATGACCTTAACCATTGTTAACTGATAACAATTCAAATCGAATGTAAAAGTCGTATTAATGTTTGACAACAAAAATCTTTCCTTGTTGACGTTTTGATAATTCTGACGGCAACACATAGTCGATAGAGTGTGACTTGTTTAAAAGCACACATATTTGAGAAAAGAAAGAACATGAATTTGTGACGTCATTGACGCAATATAGAAAAGGACACATGTTTGAGGAATGGACACAGATTTGAGGCTTACATATATACACTCAACTGCATGGAAATTGGTGATTATACATGTATATGATGAGCTTCAATAATCGTGAAACCGGCTCCTTGATTTTGTGGAATCGCAGGGACAGCTGAAGGTTAAAGCAAAAACTTTCAAATTGATATTTTCTTCTTCGTCACTAAGAAAGAGGTATTTAGGAGTAAGAATATATTATGTACAATTAAAATCTGGAACAGCATTCCATTGAACATAGGGATAAGCGACAACGACCAGTCGTTCCAAGCAACTGTTCGAACGTACACCTATAATGTATAACCTGTGCAGACAGTGTTGCGACGATGTAACAGACGCAAGGGTTCGAATCCCGCTGAGGGAAGAACAAAACTTTTCTAACGCAAATTTGATTGATTGATTGATTGTTGGTTGCTTAACGTCCAGTGGCAAATATTTCATGCATATTCAGGACGAGAACAATTTGCAAAAAAATACAATAGGTAGGTTCCGTAATGTAGGCTATCCGGGAAGAAGGTCGGGGAAATTTAGACTGCCACTGGAAAATGAGGGTAAATTGGATAGGGACAGCAATTTTGCCTTGCAACAGGTCACCTACGGACCCCTCAAAGAGTTGTTGCAAGGGTTCTTAACGTGCAGAGAGCGTGGCATTCTCTCATCGGATTTAACGTCCCCATTCTGACCGGACGTGGCTGGGTACTTGTACATCCCGCACAACCAAACGGACGCCCCACTTTAGCGAGGGTTTTACCGCCGGTCGGAGGAAGACCAATGGTGACCATATTTCTATTCCCCAGTCACCCTGGGGGTCGCAAATTTGAAGATCTAACATTGTTGGGCTTTTGAGACGAATTATATATATATGGTGTTAGCCCTGTATAACCCCGTGTTATCCGATGGAGAATGTCTGTCTTAAAGTTGTCACATGTTTAGACGTGTATAATAAAATTAAAATTTGATGTGGCTGCATGGTAATTAACATTATCATCCTTTACGACAGACAGAATAGCTGAACTGAAAGCTAGGTACATCATGCACTGTGTTACAACCCTAGATAAAGCTGACGAGGAAAGGCATTACATCGCCCACCGAAAGCTAGGGCGCTGGACACGGTGCAGGCGGTTTTGCCACGATATCACAGACTCAAGGGTTCAAATCCCGTTGAGGAAAGAACAAAAATTTGCTAACGCAAATTTGAAGATCTAACATTGTTGGGCTAAATTTAAGACGAATTCTAAATATATATTGTTAATTGCAAGACTACAAATGCTGTGTATCGTCTACAGTGTAAATGTGGTAAAAAGTATGTTGGCGAGTCAGAACAGCCATTTCACAAACGAATGAACGGCCATCGTAGCGACTACGAATGCAAGCCAGACCTTCCTCTAAGTCGACATTTGAGATCCCCTGGTCACACTAAGGCAGATCTCAATCGACTGACCATAACAATCATAGACCGAAACACTGTTTGGTCAACGGAGGATAGACTCACTCGGGAAAGATTTTGAATAAGAAAATAAAAAACTTTGGCACCAAATAGGATCAATGAAAAGGTGTAGTTCCAATTCGTGCAGTGCTTTTCATTTGGGTTATATTAAATATTACTACACAGTCTCTGTTGCTATTCCTTTACCTTTGTCAACTCTAAAATTCTAGAATTATACCAGTTTAAATCACAGGGTGCTATTCATTTGGGATGTATAAATACGCAGCCACGGTGAATTACTTAACCTTTGTCAAAATTATTTTTTTTTTAAATTATCAAACTGCTATTTATTTGGGATGTGTAAATACGTAGCCTCTGTTGTAATTACTTTACCTTCGTCAACTTTGAAATTTGAGTATTATACCAGCTCAAATCGGTCAGTGCTATTCATTGGGAATATATTTCTACGCAGTATTTGTTGTAATAACTCAACTTTCGTCACCTGTGAAATTTTAGAAATGTACCAGTTCATATCGCATATTACTATTTTTGTTAGAAGCATATCTATGCAGTCTCTGTTGTAAATACCTTTCCTACGTCATTTTTTTAATTTTAGAATTGTACAAGCGTTGTTCGGTTTTAATTGTATAAGCATAAAGATTGTTATAGTCAAATCAGAATAGATTGATATCAATTCATTTTACATCATAATCATACTGATGAAGGATATCTGTCATCCGAAATATTAATAGATATTTACATTTAATGTTACCTTTTTTGATATTGGGGTTATTTTGTACACTTTTTAGGCGTTAATATATATATATATAGTGTCTAAAAATAGCAACATTCAACATTCAATCTATCTAGGCGTGAATGGTGACGTCGTTGAAGTTCCAATTGCGATAAAAAACGTCGTATATACCCCGGCAGTTTCCTTAATATAAACTGACACCTCTGTATTGTTTATATCCAATCACAAAACTCGACACATTTGTATTCCGTAATATTGAATTATATAAATACCTAAGACATATATATAAAATGCCTGAGGCATATATACATAGGCGTATATATATACCCAACAGTATCGAAATGTTTTAAATTATGTGCTTCAAACCTCATGAAACCGCCTACGTGAATTTGTGGAAGCTTTTGCGCATCGAATACTGGAGGTCGTGCGTTCCATCCGCAGTCGGATCAAACAAAAAACACACACACAATGGTATTTGCTGCTTCGTCGCTAAGCAAGATGTATTTATGAGTAAGTATAAATACGTGAACAGTCATTTCCCTCGTACAATTTAAACCTGAAATAGTATTCCACTGAGCATTGGGATGAGCGACACCGACGAGTCGTTCCAAGCAACTGTCCCAACGTATACCTACAGTCAGTTAATGTATCATCTATAAATTGTTTTATCTTGATTTAAAAAAAAATGTAAGCTATGTAACAATGATGCGATTGGTTTTGATTTATAACCTGCGTATTGGAGGCAGTCAATACAAAGTAAAAAATAGGAGTAGAAATAAACGACTGGTTTGACCAGAGTCAGAATTACACATCCCGTGTAGGATGATATTTCTGTGCACTGTTTACTAGCACGTTAAAAAAATCCGCCTTTATATTTCAGTTTAGCACCAATTTCATTACATAAACATGTTCTCGTATAGGATATGTATTTTAATTTGTCACTGCACTTTAAACAGCCATCCGTCGTCGTCGTCATCGTCATCGTCATCATCATCATCACCATCATCATCATCATGTTCTCGTATAGGATATGTAATTTAATTTGACAATGCACTTTAAACAGCCATCCTTCGTCATCGTCATCGTCAGCAGCAGCAGCAGCAGCAGCAGCAGCAGCAAAACTTACGACAATGTGTCATCGATACACAAAGGGTATTTCCAACGGCACATTTACTAGAGTGTAGAAAAAGAAGAATGGCAATTAGTTCCTTGTGTGATATGTGGACTATACAATGAATATCATCTGTTTTCAATAAGCCTTGGATCTTATTAACTATTCGCAATGTCATCATTATCCACTCGAATGATTGAATGGGTAACATCAACAAAAATGATTGAAAAATCTGTTACCTAGATTATTTTTAGTTTTACAATCGCTAATCATGTTTTATTATTGTGTGAATTCATTTTATCGAATAATTAATAAAATGAAAGTGTTTATAGAAATAAAAAAGACATCTATATGTATCGTTTCATAATTAACCTCTTTAATTTCTTATTTGATGGGTATGTCAATCAGTATAAGCACCCCACCCCTTTTCGTGGCGGCGGTTAAATTATATCACTTTTGTATAGTGGAGTTTGAATTTTGTGATATATACAAAATAGTTATCTGTTTGTTTTAAATGCTATGCCAGCCGGGTATCCATAAGCATCATGTAGTGTGTTTTCACCGTAAACCCAAAGACCAAATCGAGTGCCACCTGTATGATTCATATAATGTTGCCCAGGAGAAATTGGTAAACTAAATGTACTATAATGATCGGTCCCGTTAGAAATATTATAAGCACCATCTATTGTAGTCAGCTGACCATCGAGTGTAAATCCATCGAGAGCACTCGACTTTACACACACTGTAATATGACTTTTCAAATCATCGATAGCAGGTACTGCAAAATCATAGTTAGACATGTACTGGTTCACGCCATGAATCGTCATCATGAAAACAGTACCTGTACCTTTTGGAAGTTCATGGGGTATAATCATTACCAGAAAATCACGATTATCATGGATATACGATATTTTTCTATGAGTAAAATCAATAAACTTTCGTTCATCTACATGCCGTGTCAGACGATTATTGCCATCATGTAGACTCAAGGTCGTTTCCTTTGGGCAATACACACGAACAGTACTAGAAGGACGTGTGACTATTTCAGGTATTACGTAAAAGTTATCTATTTGATTCAATGGAAGGACCATTTCTAAAAGTTCATTCAGATTGTCGTTTCCTGTGACTTGATTGTGAATACTGCTTGTCAACACACTTACTGGTTTTGTAGCTTGTATGGTCGTTCCCGATAGGTCTGACGAATGGGAAAGCTTAAACGAATGAAACCTATTCAACACCAAAGAAATCACATCATTGTTGTTGTAATTTACATTTTTATACTGCAACGGTCCTTTCTCCATTCGTAAGTTTATTTTCACTGTAGTTCTGTCTTCAGTTGTAGTAATCGTCAAAGCGCTGTTAGCACTACTGCTGTATACTTTAAAGGACGGAAGAAGATAATTTGTCGACAAGTATCTATTCGGAATTGCCATATATGCTTCTGTTGCATGGCCGTTATCATAATCTTGTATTCAATAAAGAGAAATCGGAATGGACGATTGCACTTCCATGCCTACCTTTTCAATGCCCTCGCTAATGATAATGTTGTCAATAGGTAGATCAAATGAGTACTGAGTATTGGTAAATCTGGTTGTTTTATTAGTATTATCAAAAAATGTGTACCGAGATAACCATCCACCATTTTTCGAAGCTACTAATAGTTTGGTTTCATGAATGTGACCCTTTTCTGTAAACACAATTGTAAATTGGACACCTTCAGAATCTGAAAATAAAAAAAGATTTTGTTTTAAAAATGAATATGATACAATAAATGTACGAATACATTGGACTTTGTTGATTTACTCAGATACTTAGATTTCGTGTAAAGCAAATCGTATTAGTCAGACATTGATTGCCTTAGTATAGAATATTTATCAAATTAAATGATATTGCAGAAATATTTATGTCTCTAAAACAAAAGTTTTGCAAAATCAAGATAAAGAAATTTGTGTACTGATATTTTTACAAGAAATTGTAGCAGCTGAGTTGACAGTAATCATTGTAGATTGATAAAAAAAATTGATTCTTTTCGACATTTCGAAAAACACAGTAGCGCTAGGGTTCACAATGAATATTGTATAAACAAAGAGTACAAACGAAGGAACGCACAAAAACTATATGTCTCAAAATGAACGGAAAACAACACCTAGGTCAAGTGATAAAACAAACAGACTAATACTAATAGAGAAAAAAAAAAAAAAAAAAACGCTACACATAAAACTAAAGCATGAGCAACACGAAACCCTCGAAAATCGAGTTGTTGTCGTCGGGTCAACCAAAAGTGTAAACATTTTGTTATTCAAAAATACACAATCTTTATGTTGCTTATGGAAGTTAAAGGACAAGGTTCGATTTGGGGCCAAATTGGCCCTAAAATCAAATATATTTCATTTTGTTATTAAAAAATACACAATCTTTATGTTGCTTATGGAAGGTAAAGGACAAGGTTCGATTTGGGGCCAAATTGGCCCTAAAATCAAATATATTTCAAACTGTCTCGGATTGTTAGAATTAAATGTTGAATGTATGTGCTTTAATAAATACCCAAATACTCAAGATTTTGACTTCTTTAAAATGACAGTAAATTCTGTAAAATTTGACAATTATGCAAAATCTTTATTTTTTGTCCTGTACAAGCGTACAAATAATATAGAGCAACACGATATTTAAGCAGCAATTGTATTTTTGTTTATCTTTTAATTTACAAAAAATACAGTTTGGACCACGCTTGTCTACATTTTGTAACAGAAGGTTTAATCTTATCATCGGTTGGCAAACGAACATTGGTTAATAATATTTTCAAAGATTTCGGTTGTCGCTTACTTTTTATAATATTTTTATTTTCCGAGGCTTTTCTATTTCTTGAGTTACGATTTAACGTTGGTAAATTTGTACAAATAATATTATATGCCTCACTATTTCTTGAGTTGGTTGAAACGTATGGTATTTTCTTTAGTTCTGGTCGTTCGTATAAATAAAAAGATGTGGTATGAGTGCAATCTAATTCACAATGTATAAAAAGCTGGTTGTTCGTAGTTCACTGATATCAATTACTTTGGGTCTTTTATTCCGTTGTCTAATAATGTAATTGGGTAATTATTGGGTAATTTCTATCTTTAAGTAATTGACGTAATTCGGTTAAACAGATATATTGTATAAAATTATCCGATGCTATTGTGCAAATTCGTTTTGCTAAATTAAAAGGGATATTCGTTCTGGTATTTTTAGGATGACATGAATTAAACAATAAATATTGTTTTGAATCTGTTGGTTTGTAATATGTGTTTGTCTCAATGCGGCAATTTGTTTTTAATTTATGATATATCTAAGAATGATAATTTATTGTTACTGAATATTTGCGTTTACGTTATTAATAATTGTCTTGAAAATTAGAAGTTTTTCTTCATCTACATTCCGTAATATAAAGCAGTCATCCATAAATATTTTCAAATTTTTAATTAAATAGTTGTAGAAAATATGTCAAAGTTTTTCAATTGATTGTTCATAGATTTTGGGTTCTAGATGTCCCATCACTAAATTTGCATATGTTGGGGCTACTTTAGTGCCCATAGCAATTATAGACTTCTGTCTGTTTATAGTGTTATCGAAATTAAAGTAGTTGTTCTGAAAAATACATTTCAGTCCTTCAATAATAAAATTTTTGTTTATTCGTTCTGGAAGTCTTTTGGACATTTATCAAGCTAAAATGTAAGAGCTTCTATTCTATAGTCATGCGGTATAGTAGTAAACAGATTAATTACGTCAAATGATACTAATATAGTGTCTTCACGTACAAACTTTGGTAAATGTTTCAACATATCTAGGTCATCTCTTATAAAACTATCTATGTGTTTTGAATACGGTTTCAATGATATATCAATAAAGTTGCTCAAATGATGGGTCCCACAAGCTCGACCGGCAACAATAGGTCTAAGTTTTAAGTCATTCGGACACATAATATTTATGAAAGGAGATGATGAATCCTTTCAAGCCTCACTTAAAACTTTACTTGCGTGAATTTTTGGCAATCCATAGAAATTACTCTTTTTGCACATAACGTTTGAAATGTAATCAGATTCTTTGCTGATTCGACCCTTAAGGCATAAATTTGTCCAAACTATAAGATTCTGTGTTATCTGTTTTTTTTTTTGTTTATATTTTTTTTGTTTTTTATTATAATCAAATAGCTGAAGCATTGATAAGATTTTTTTTTAAATAATCTACAAAGATTACATAATTACTACGGTGCTTCCTTTATCTGCTTCATTGATTACAAGTTCATCGTTATTTTTCAATGTATTGATAAATATATATATTTTTAAATATACTTTTTCACTTTTTTGGTCTTTTGGAAAATGTTGTTTGTGCTGTATTTAGACACCTCTAACAAGAAATTTGTTTTGCATGCACACGTATAAAAAATGCGATTTTTATCCAACGCAATCATAGGTTTGAACGTTGTTTTCAAATTAGACTTGTATTATATTTACCTTCGGGTTTATATGATCCGTTCATCCTATTTTGACTCCTCAAAATTCAAGAGTCTATCCTAAATTGTGGTAAATTGTATGGCTTTCCAAATACCGTTTCGATTCCTAACATCACTGAAGAGACATTAATTGTCGAAATCCGGATATGGTGTACAAAAACCTTTGCACCTTTTGTTTGCGGTATATCATCTTTTCCGCAAGTTTATTGTTTTCTGTTTAGTATTAAATTTTTAATTAAGATCCATATATTACATCGGTGATCCGTTTATTTGGCAATCGCCAATGGCAGTCAGCAGGGTTTAAGAACATTTGTTGTTCGACCTGTTAGTCAAATGCGTTTTGTTAAAATATACTTTTTCACTTTTTTGGTCTTTTGGAAAATGTTGTTTGTGCTGTATTTAGACCCCTCTAACAAGAAATTTGTTTTGCATGCACACGTATAAAAAATGCGATTTTTATCCAACGCAATCATAGGTTTGAACGTTGTTTTCAGTTTAGACTTGTTTATATAAATATATATATATTCTTATTCAAAAAATCACATAACAGCTGGTATGTGTGCACGCTTTTCTTCGAAGTATATAAGGCTGTACCAAAAATATGAGGAAGAATAATGAAAGTGCCGTTAGTTGATAGTCATTCAACAGACTTTACAATTTCTAGAATTGAAGTTTGAAACGTTGCTGTACTCAACTTCAGTGTAGTAATAAGATATATATTTGTTTTCTGTTGTCTGAAATTGACAGTGCTACATGTATTATATTTCCATTTGACTTTTCTAACTAGACAAACCTTTGTCACAAATAAAATAATATGAAGGGAACATGCAAATTTAGAATCATATTACTCTGTCATCTGTAAGGGGCATTTAATAAAACAATAGATGAAACAATCTCAGAATTAATCATTATGTTATTTCATTAAACTTGTTTTGGTTATCCTATAACATATTTATATGTTGACTCTTTGTCTGGTTTATTTGTTTCCCACTTGCAAATACATTACATAAACAGGAGTGCTCACACTGAAATGTCTCACCTGCTTTCCTGATCACACAGTCTTTTAGATAAAGATTTTACTACAAATAACACAACAACTTTATAGCTGACTATACGGTATATGTTTTATTCTCATTATTGAAGGCCGTACGGTGACTAAAATTACTTTTATCTTCTACATTTGAAATCTGGGGGATAGTTGTCTAATTGGCAATGATATCACATCTCCTTATTTCTATACGTACGTCTTACAATTATTTCAAACCTACCAAATATAGTTGACCTATTGCATGTATTATATGAGCTAAGGACCAAACTAGTACTTGACATTTACCAATGAACTATGAAAATGAGGTCAATGTCAGATGATACATGCCAGACGGATTGTAACCATTATATACACCAGATATAGTATAGTTGAACTACTGCTTATAGTATCTGAGAAATGCACCTAAGCAAGTAACTTTAACTTTGATCACTGATCCACGAAATGAGGGAGAGGTCAGATGCACCCTGTCTTACCGACATTAAGACCTTGCAAGGATTATATAGATCAAATATCATTGTCCTATTATTCATAATAATTGAGAAATTCACATGACAAAAAAAGTAAACAGTTTTTAAGCATTTGCCGAACCATGAAATTGAGGTCAATGACAATAGTCATAAGACAGACTGAAACTTCGTAACATAGGGTATCTGTATTCAAATTATGAAGCAAAAAGGTCTTCTACCTGAAAAATAACGAGAGACAAAAAGAAGTATACAAGAAATTATAAGAATTTAATGTGTGAAGTACATCTGAGTGATGTGGTCCCTTATTCTTCTTCCATCATTGGCTCCATTATACACTCAGTCTGCATTAATATTGGGCATCTTTTCTACTTGATCTTCAGGCTCAAGATCATTCAACCAAAATGCTATATTGTGCAGAATGGCACAAGCCATGTTAATGCTGCATACCCTTTCAGGTTTCATACAAATCTGTAAAAAAATAATAAAATATTGTACACAAAACGTTACTCTTTCCTGAATTTTGTGAGGCAGAATATTAATTTTCAACATGTTAGACTGTATTATGCAAGGTTATTTATTTTCAGGTCTTACCAGTACAGGATATTCATTTTCAAAATCATCCTGCCCACCTCCCGCCCCCAAAAATAAAATTGTTGCCTCCTAAATCACTGAGAAGGGGTTATCATGAAAAATAAAAAGGATATTTGAAGAATAAATAT